GCGTATGGAATTTCGATCCTCTGGACATGGACAGATTGCAGATGAGTAAATGAGTTGCGTGGTTGCGTGATGTTCGATATTATAAATAAATAATAATTATTTAACTCGTCGGAACGTCAAACGGTATTTATTTAACACACCGTACGCATGCGCAAACAACATTGTGATGTACGTAGACGAAATGTGTATTATTATTATACATGTTTATAAGTCGGTTATTACTGTTATTAGATAATAATAGTCAATCGCTCGTAATATTGGTATATCTTTACAACGCTTGTTGTTTATTATTATTTTTTTTTCGTCTTTTTTTCCTGAAGATTACAATAACGGTTATTATTAAGCTTTTATTATACCGGGATCCATGTGGCGTTTTGTGTATTTATAAACTTTGAAAAATTAATAACGTGTAAGTTCGTAGGGGCCGATGGTCGGGTGCAGATAACCCCACCGCTACCCCGCGCCACCACAGCCAAACGACGACGACCGCATGCGTGGTATAAAATAATATGTATAATACGCGTACAATATTATTATTATTATTACAGCATAATATAGGCGCCAGAATATAATATTATTTACCGACCAAAACGGCCATCTGTTTTAGATACTGTGCCCGGCGTTGACAATCCGTTCCGTTGCGGACACCTTACGTCGTATTATATATTATTATTATTTCTCAATACAAATTCCAGACCCCGAGACACGCCGAAATTCACCGACGAATACAATATTATTTAAAATAAACAAAAAAGGTGGTGGCCGACTCTGCGTGGTCGTCTTTTACGGGGACTGCTGTGTCATTTATACTACGTGTATAGTAGTAGTAAATATGACTTATTGATATAATAGCTTAGTAACTCGTCGGGCACGACTGAAATTATAAATATGTATAGACGATTTTATATTATAGCATATTATTACATACGCGTATGTTATATTATAAGGCTGTGCGTGATGGTCACACCTCGCGACTAGAGTCATCTGTGTTTTATCAGTTATCTATAATGCTAAAATACATATATTAATATATAATTATATCATAATATATCGATGAATGTACAAAAACAAATTTTATTTCAATAGATTTTTTATTTTAATAAAAGCAATAGTATTTATTTATATTAAACATTCTTATGTCAATAGATTTTTTATTTTATTTTTATTTTTTAAATTACATCATATTTTTATAATTTGACACACATTATTTTACACGAACCTAACCTCGCGTGTAAATATAATATAAATCATTGCGACAATGCATATACTAGTTATTGCCTTCCAAATTAAAGATAGATGTATACTGGATAGATATTTTTCTATTTTAGTATAGTAAACATAGTGGTTTTTATTTTAAGTCAAGAAAGAACTTCGGGTACGAACACTACGAACCTAGAAATCTCAAATGATGGAGGAGGGTGTTTATTTATTTACGAAAAATACAATTATAATTTGTAAAAATAAATGATTATTGATATAATATTATAGATAAGATTTAATAACTATATATGATAGCAGTTTTACTTATGTTGTAAATTTATGGAGTTTAAGAGAGATGAATAATATTAACTAAATATATAAATATATATTTAGTTAATATTATTCATCTCTCTTAAACTCTATAAATTATATATATTGTATAATTAATTTAATACATAGGTAGTAAATATTATGTTTCCAAATGCGTGGAACTAAAATCCTTCTCCTCTCCCATATCCACGCCCGAAGAACTTTATACTAAAATTGCTGTGAATAATGTAATCTTGTTGATATTATATAGAAATACTTATATATATAATATATATATTTAATAAAATTAAAACAACCAGTATTAGAAATAATGTAGGTACTATTGGGAGTCACTAAGCCTACAAAAATACGCACTACTCACACTCTTAGGAAACGGCCTCCAGGCAGTACGATGATATTTGTATTTGTTATCAAAATATGATGTTACGTTTAATTTAAATAAAAGGTATAAATCATACGTATTAATGTATTATACATTTATATTTAATACAAATAATCCTCTGCAGCTACTAAAAGCTGATCAAGTGATTATTTACTTTGCTGTACAATTAAAGGTGCCGAGTGGGTCACTGTAATGAGTGTGTTAAATTTGAATTCAATGTTATAAATTGCAAATTAAAAATGTCTATAAATAGCTCAAAAATATTCAAAATATTTTAAAAATTGTGTCACATAATGTTGTAACCTAACCTATCCTATCCTAACTAMAAATTAATCAAATCAGATACATTATGTATACGACTCACTCAGTCATTTATAGAATAAGGTATAAACAATTTATTAATATTATTAATATAAGTCATTAACGACATTAACTATTAATATTAGAATATAAAGTATAGGTACTCTAGAAATTTAAATACCCAAGAATAATATTTTTAAATTACAAAATTTTGAAATTTTTTTACCAAACGAATACAATTTTACTGTCACTTATATATAAAATTTAAAAAAAAATAGAAAATGTCTTTAAATAACTTGAAAAGATTTGAAATATGTTGAAAATTTTATCAAGTATAGAAAATGCCAGTGTTAACATTCAGTGAACATTTTATGTGTCTATGGTAAGTTGTAAGTTGTTTTAAAGTTACACCAATATCAAAATTCAATTTTCACAAAAATTGATTTTACATAAAAATTCCCGTTTTTCATTTTTTTTTCTGTTTTTGCCGGTGCTTTTGAAAACTACTAAGAAATTCAAATTTTAACCTCCCAAATGCACCAACTATATTTACTTTACAACCGGAAAAGCTACTGAAGTTGAAAATCGAAGGATTATTTTGACAAATTATCGTGCATGTACACACACACACACACAACATTGTAAAATCAATACATTTATCACTGCTCTCAGAGTCCAAAATAATATTAACCTATGAAAAATAAAAAATTCACACAGCACATTTTTGAAAGAGGCAAAAAATGTTCATATAATAGGTTCTACAACAAGAGTGGCAAATTATTTAAACGCTATGTGGCAAAAAATAACATTTTTTTTATTAATTTTGCCATGAAAAATACTATATATTATATAGCCAATATATATACAATGTAATAAAAATATTTTTATTTTTTGCGTGAACTCAAAATCTTTCCACGTGCCACCTTGGGGCTTGGGCAACCGTGACATGGATTTGCTCTGTTCTACAATTTCTATGACTCTACTCTGATCCCTTGATCCAAAACTTATTAACAAAAATATTCCATGAATTTTGGCAATCCCTCAAGATGTATGAAATGCTAAACTGATATACCTAAAAAAATCAAATAGGATGTGAATTATGTCAACTTGTTATGGCTTCATTCATCAATATTCAGTTCGTGTAGAATTTCACTCAGTTGCAGCAGGTACGATTTGTGTATTTATGCATTAATAACATAGTAAACAAGTAAACATAATTTATTTTAACAAAGAAACAATCGATACTTATTATAATCGTAATTTATTACATTACAGGTAGATTGATGATGATGAAAATGTTTGATTTAAGAGCCGATCATAAAATGAACTGAAAATTAAAAATTGAAAATATATTTTGATAATATTCGTTTTGAATAATTTATAATTTATAAATAATATATTGTTAAATTAAATAATTATATTTTATAATTTAATATTTTACTAAATATAAAATTTGTTTAACAAATAGTAGTAATTATGCCAGCAGAACGAAAACATTAAATATTTCTATTTGAGGACCTGCAGTCACTTTTAAGTAGTCTATTTATCTATATATGTTATGCGTTACTGTTTTTAATATTATAATGATGTAATTTTGGTTAAGATTGTTAATTTAAATGTGTATTGAATTTGTAACGTTTTTCAATAAATAAATAATTATAAATTACAAACAGTTACTAACATAATATTTGAATTTAATATAACTCCTCTTCATATACACAAATTTGATATCTTTGTTCGGATCAAGACCGTTTTTTGAAAACAAATTTATACCTAACAAAAAAGATTTAAGTATACTTAACAGTATTGTTTATATCTATTTATGCAATCATTAAATACATTTTTTAACGAAATATTAAATACAAGACTAAAATTATATCCAATCATAATAACTATTTTCTTRAAACAATTTTTCACGAGTGTTTTTCTTGTAACTTAATAATAGATATAACTAGGACAAGAATTTGTATACATTATTGGTCTGTTTTTTTAGAACTTCTTAATATTTTTTAATAGTAGGTAATGTCGATTAATCAGCTCATGTGTAAACGCATCATTTTAACATGATTATTTGAAGCTATAGGTTTTTTTGGAAAAAATGTATAGAAAATGTTTTTATGTGTAAGTAATATATTTTAGCATATTTTTACATATTATGAATAACACAAATGCATAGTTAATTATTGTTTATTGCATATACGAGTAAATCCTATTATAGCCCTAATTATAGTAACTCACACGTATAGGTAGTATTACTAGTATTATATTAAATATTGTGTAGTGACACATTCGCAACTTTTGTTATCATCACCGCACATTCCCTACCCCCSCACTCATCATAATATCACATCAGTACGGTCAACGTTTTATTGACATCACGTGCAATAATAAAATACCACAATAATTTCGTAATAATATGAATAATATTAAAATATCGTCAAGGATCGTCTTCGTTAGGACCTATACTAGCGAGTCTAGGTGAGTTCGACGACAACARTACTGCATGCATAGACGATTTATGCATATAATATATATTACAATGATGATGATGATGATGATAATTATAATAATAATAATAATAAAGCGTGTTGTACAGATATTATTTTCGAGACGATCGCAGCGCGAGTTACTATATTATATATATTATATAGACGGGCCATGTGCTCGGCGCGCCGGGTCCACCACGCGGCCCTAGGATTGGTCGAGATTCGGCAGGCTTGGGCGGGGACCCCCGCGGGTGCACCCCGGCAGAGCTGCRTTACAGGGGCGGAGGCTGCGGTACATCATCGTCAGCACGCGGAGACGACGGGCGGCGCGCCACAACCGGCAACAGTGATCGAAGAGACACGTCGCCGCGGGGACGGACTGCAAGCAGAACTATGCACACGACGAACGCTGCACTTATCGGTTGCACCGCCACCATGGACCAGTTCGCCGCCGACGAATACCTGCAGCCGCAGCATCAGTGCGCCGCAGCCGTCGCCACGGTATCCGCTGCCGCCGACTACCTGCACTGTGGCAGCAATGCCTCCGAGTGCGAACCGGCCGCCGCCGCCGCGTACCCACATCATCACCATCACGTGCACCACTCGGCCAAGGACAGCGGCGAGTATTTCGCGGAACCTTATTACTACGATTCGACAACYGCCACCGCCGCCGGATATTGCGGCGGATACGGTGGTCCGTACGACGCGTACAGCGATCACAACTGGTCATCGTCGCCACAGGAATACAATTCGTCGTCCGGCGCCGGCGGGTTGGTCGACGTGTCGCAACCGTACTGGACGCCGGCGGACGTCAGCGGACCGCTACAACTGACGCCACTAACGCTACACCAGCCGCTGCCGCCGCCACCACCACCTACACTGTTGGTCCCGGAACTGCAGGTAGGTTTCTGTGACGTCGACGACTTCCGGTCAGCGGAACACGGTTTATTTCAGTTTCAACCCGGTCGCGGAGCTACCGATCAAACCGCCTGCATCACCGCGGCCACCACCGCTGACCAATTCTTCAGTAAGTATATATGCGCGTCCATGTACGCTTACACCATAAGCGCAACTATAGTGGGAGCTTAGAACTTCTCAAATAATAAATAGTCAATTAAGCATAAAATCGGCTAAAAATGATTAGGTATATGCTGCATGTAAGGCTGTTTCTCAAACTTGGAAAACGCTTAGATTGGTTATATAGATACACCATCTAAAGAGTGTTCTGTAGCTGTGATGGATACCAAGTACTTTGTTTTCTAATGAGAACTAACCTTTTTATTTTCAACTATTAAGCTGATTTTGTAAATTTTGTAAATCTGAATAATAATTGAAAATAATATTATGATAGTCCATAATATATTTTTCAATTCCAATAATTAGAAAGTTTTTGAATAAATATGCCCACATTATTAATGGGAAATTGTGCATGTTTGGTGTATCTTTCCGTATAACTACCATATATATACATTTATATTTATTACAAGTTATTTGCAAATATACAGAATAAATATAGTGGTATGTATTGGAGTGTATGATAATATAAATTAAATATAAAAAAGCGGGTAAGTAGATGTCACTCTGCTGTACACTGTACAGTAGGTTACAAGTGGGTTACTTTAATGGATGCGGTATTAAATTTGAATTCAACGATATAATATCATCATTGTATACGATTTTTTATACTATATTAATTTTATTGTTATTATTTAAAAAACAAATGTAGGTACCTATAAAATTAATTCAAAATTTCAAGTACCCACGAATAATATTTTTAAATTACAAAAAAAATAACTAAAATCGTTAGGTTCTTCTTCAATTCTTGGTTATTTAATATGTAATTTCATCCAAATTTGAACTTAAATAACATTTTTTTGTATTTTATTTGAATTATACAATCTGTAAAAGTTATGTAACATAAAATAAATATTAAAAAATTAGTGTTTGTATAGTTTTTAGATCTTTTTTGTCTCAGAATTAACAACTGATGTGGAACCTTTTTTTTTAAATTTTCAATCATTACCTATAAAAGTTAAATGATTTATACATTTTTAACAACTAAAGAATTTGTAAATTTTCAATTAATTAAATTTTTTCAAAATTTGAAATATATAAACAGTTATATAAAAAAAAAATATACCTATATATTTTTAATATTTTCCAACTGTTATTATATTAATTTATGGTGAACCTTGTATTCAATTTTAAAGCTTTTTACCAAATGAATAAAATTGACTTGATAGAAAAAAAAAGAATAAAATTGAAAATATCAAATGTCTATTTACAACTTGGAATAATTTGAAATATTTTGAAAATGTTATCAAGTATAGAAAATGCCAATTTAAACAATTGATTTGCTTTAGAGTTATACCAATATCTAAAATAGATTTTCTCAAAAACTGATCTTGCGTAAAAATTGGTTTGTTTTGTTTTTCCGGGCGCTTTTGGAAACAACTGGGAGTTTAAAATGTTGACCTCCCAACTAGTACTAGATTCACTTTCCTGCCGGAAAAGCTACTGAAGTTGAAAATCGAAGCTTTATTTTGACAATTTATCATGTACATGGACAAAAAAAAACAATAATAAATAAATAAAAAGTAGTAAAATCAATACATCAATAATCGCTCCGTTTAAAATCGAAAACATAAATAGGATTATAAATATTTCATAGAGATTGACATTACCATTTACCAGTGAAATCATATAATATGATTCATATTATTATACCTTCAATCTTCGTACCATATTCTATGTTCGTACAAATAATATATGAAGGTAGTAGGTACAGTTGTAGGTACACTTTTGTACTATATTATGTCTTATCGTCGGTCTTTCACGACATCTTGGTAGTTTTCGTCTCTATTAATTATCATGCAGGCTGTTAATTATTACTATCCATTACCTATGAAGACGAGCAAAAATTACTTCATACATACTAATCGGTTATTATAAAAATATATCTAGCAAAAACAATTTTATCCTACAAATGCATTGCAATATACGAATATTTATTGATATTTAAAAAAGATAGAAAAAGATTATATTTTTAACTTGGAGTTCTTTTTTTTTTTGTACATATCTTGCTATACATGAAAATAGAAATATTTTTTTTAAAAAGTTTAAAAAACGGACAATTCAGCGTCCTTGAAGGTGGTCTGAAGCTTATGTCAGGACTTTTGAAATATAATACTTTCCCGTATAATACGGCACGTCAGCATGTCTGCCCATCCTACTTATGATGGGCTATTATCTTTAGTAGTTACTAGTTAGTAAAGACATAAAGTTAAATAACTTATAAAAAACTTGTTTGACAGCAGTTGGAATTTTGATTTGGTTGCTTCATCTTAACAAAAATTATTTGATTAATTGTTTACTGTAAAAAAGTGTGTATTTTGTTTGATAAAAACAGTTTGTACTATTAAATAATGACAGTATGACACTCACTAAATGGCATAAAAATCATAAAATTTAATACTATTGTCTTTCACTATAAACTTTAAACTTTCAGCATGATAAAAATCAGAATTTCAAAAAACGCATTATTAAAGAATAAAAGATGAGGTGAGCATACCTGGTGAATCACTAAATAATAATTCCTATTCATTAGATACATCKTAAGCCTTAAGGTTTAGGTACTATTTTAACAATAATTGAAGTTGGTTGGATAGGTATTTGGTAGATATAAACAAACATTTTAAATTAAGTAATTAAAATTAATAGTTAATACTGTATTCATATCAAAACTGAGATCATAATAATATAATATGGTAATATGATTTAATTTTTTTGCTATTTTGGGGTAGCCATATTGAGTTTGCTAAATGTTTTTGTGTTTATAATTGTTAATTATACTAAATGAGTTTAAAAGTTACTTAGGAATTTAAAGAAGGCACCTTGTATGTTTTATTTTAAACTTAAAAATAACTAATAAAAACATACACAAAATACTTTTAGAGAAATGGTATATTTGGGATTATTTTCTGAAGCGTCGATGATAAGTCTAAAGTAGCAAATCATTAATGAAATATGTGATATAAGATAAACTATTTAAAATATTGTTTATCTTAGCCTTTATGAGGACAGGTACCCACTTTTCTTTGGAATGTTGATTTAGTTTACTAAAATGTAACTATAATACTTACATAGGTAATAAATCAATAAATTAAAATGTTATTAATCTAATGTTATTTTTATTTTTGTAATAGAATCAACTTTAAATAAAAAACCAATAATAAACAGATGTGACCAAAAAAAATCAATGAGTAAATCATTAACGAGTCAAAGACAAAGAGCAAAACGGAAACCTAGAGTACTATTTTCACAGGTAGTTGCATACATATTTTTATATTATAAATATGCCTGTATATTACATATACAACTGACAAATAGGTTACTGTAACCTTTATAAGTATACATTATACAGGTCAACAACATTATTAGTATCTATATATTGGGTATGTTTACTAAATAGTCAAATTGATGACACATTATTTTAGAAATATTAATAGGTACTGGATAACATATATTTTATACTTTTCTATAAATTTGCGTAATATAAAGAGAATAGTATTTTATTTTATTATTACCTTGACAGTTTTAATATCATTAACTTTAGATTATTACTAAAACGTCTAGATTCTAGATGGATACTGTTGAAACGCCATCAATTTTTAATGGATTTAATTTTTTGGGGGCATTTTTTCTAAAATATTAGGCTAATAATTTTTATAATAATTTTAATTTTATACTGTTTATATTCTAAAGAAAAAGTAAATAATAGGTGATTTAAATTTTAAAACCATAACATTTTTACAACTGTTAATCATAATTTACATCTTTATAAAAAGTCTATAATTTTTTTATAAAGATTAAAGATTTTAACTACGGCAAACGTTCTTACATCTTCCATGTATAACTTGAACACTCTAATTACACTTATGTTCTATAGTTAATTAACAATAGTTTTATTTGATTATTTCTTTAGGATGTTATATCAGAATTAGAACATCGGTTCAATCAACAGCGGTATTTATCGGCTACAGAGCGAGAAGCAATGGCATTAAGACTGAGGTTGACTCCAACTCAAGTAAAAATTTGGTTTCAAAATCGGCGATATAAAAGCAAAAAGTTAATAACAGCAGACTGTACAATACCAGATAACAATAAAAAACCTCCAAGAAGACAATTTCCAGTAATCAAGCATTGTTATACTGAATTAACACCTTTGATCACAAATAATAATCATAACTTCAATCACAGCAACAAATATTTTAACATTTAACCATATTTTTGCAAATTATTATTTAAGCACAATAAATAAATATTTAATAAGTTAACAATTAAGTAGTTTGTTTTATGTATAATATTTTATAATATTGTTAGTAGTATTTGTATTACTATATGAATTTCATAGAATTTAGTCAGTACCTACATAATTTAAGATTAATTATTGTCCTATTCAACATTTTAATATTAATATACACTGCTTAAGATGTTTCTTACACTAGTCTAGTAGTCTATACTGTTTAAATAAATAAATAATAGTTTATTAATATATAAATCAAATGTATGTAGGTATTGACATATTAAATAATTATTACCAAAGATTTATCATGCACATAAATACGTAATTTTGTTTGTTTTTTTAATATGTAAACAATTTACTATAATAAATTTTATTGAATGTTTAATTTTATATTGTATACTAATTATTAGGTAGATATACAATAAAATGTATAACTTTGAGTAATAAATAATAATCGTATGTATGTATACAATGTACCTATAATAAGAATTTATTTTTAACTGAAAATAGATTACCAATATAAATACATTTTTTTTATTTAGTTATATTTTTCATTAATAACTCATTAGTTAAAATTTAAATAAGTTAGAATTAGAACATTTACACCGAGTTTAACTTAGATTTCTCACTATTAGAACAGCTTAAACAAGACTTTGAGGTTTTCAACCAATTTTCTCAATTCTATGTCCTATACATATATAAAAATATTATACTTTTTTTAAATGTTTACACATCACAGTGCTTATCAATACTATATCAATACTTATATCATTATACATTAGTGCCGTCATAATGTGTTGAAAAATAGGTACATACTACCTCTACTATTTGTCATCTAGCCTATATAAATATATTTATATTAATTATGTTGTATATAATTAAACAAATTACTCAAATTAAATTAATAAGAATAAACTATTTATACAATAATAAAATCAGCCAATTTAATGTAGGTAGTTGTAAAATTACTCAAAAACGTTATTAGACATACCTATATGGTTAACATTATTGAACTATAAACAAAATAAATCACTTTTTACAGAAACTATTTCAATTTTTCATTAGGCGCAATCAACAAAAAGGATTGATAAATATTGTATTATTATATTTTATATGGGCATAGAGGTCAGTTAGGCAGGGGTTTGGGAAAACAGTTGACCTACAGTTTTTTCCTCAGTAAAATGTGGCCCCTCAAAATGCCAAATCACATAATATTTTTTTTATTTGAAAAAAAAAAATATGCACAATAATCAATAAATATCAAATACCTAGGTAATAATAATATATAAAATGTACACAGACTTAAGAATGTATCAATAAAAATATGGTTATACACTTATAAGTATATTATGATGAATATACAGCAGTGGCGTCATTTCAGTTTTTAATAGAGTGTGCAAAAGTTTTGATTAGCATAAATGGGTAAGGTAAATAATGCATTTTAATATAAATATATTTCAATAATTAATTAGTAATTTGCAATTATCATTGTGACAATAATTTCTTAGACAGTAGGTACACAATACAATATTCCCTAAAATATTTTAAAAATAGGCATGTTTTTTGCTTATATAATATAATAGTGCAGGCATATCAACCGGGATCAACCAGGCACCAACCCATTAGGCTACTTTTAAAATCAGACATGGGCAATGCCCACCTACCCCAAATGAAGCCACTGATATACAAATATGAAGACTTGGTAATGAAATATAAATAGTGAGTACAAAATCTTATTTAAACTTATTGACTTAAATAATGTACCTAAATCAAATAAAAATAATAATTAATTGATACCTTAAGGTTTGTAAAACTTAATATTTACTTAACAATTAGTCATGTAAACAGTTATGTTGAATGTTGGTATCAAAATGTGATATAAATTATTAATAGGTAAATTGCGAGCGACTTTGTAATATATAGTTGGTCAAAGGTTCTACACAGTGGCCTCTTTTAAGTGAGGCAGACCCACAGACTAAAATCTTGTAAACACCACTGTCTGCACATCACAAGATGCAACCATAAAAATGATTACATTAAAGCTACAGCTGTTTATAATCATAATACAATGGATTAATTTTTGATATAATCACCAATAGGTAGCTATAAATTATAATATCTGGTACATTAGAATATTAAATGTTAAACCACATCTATAATGCCTTGTTGTTCATTTGATCATAAATTAAACTTAAAACTGTATGTGATAAAATCAGTGAAATAATCGAGTGTTAGAGATAACCAACATTTACATTTAATTAGGTATCAAACAATTAAAAATGATATAAACAATCACAAAAATTAAGAAAAAAATATAGGCATTATTATTATATTATCTATGAGAAAACCAAGGTAATGCAATAATGTAGTACTGATGGGGCAAAATTATATAAATGAATGAGAAAATATTTAAATGCTTAAAAATCTTGATAAATTAATGACTTTCTCATTTTTAATTATATACATACATTTTAGATATAGTAAAACAAAAACATTAAATTTTAATGTGTTTGCTTCAAAGAAACAAAATAAGCACACATTTCAATTAATACTTCGTAAAAATACGCAAAGGTATGAAGTTATTAACTCTGTATCAATAAGGGGTTTGTCCACATTGTCTAGTTTTAACAAACATATTGTTGAAAACACCATAATTATGAGAAAATTTTTTTATTTTCGAACGCGGCCTCCGACTTTGACATCAGACTATCTAAATCATAATTAATACTCAAATGTTTACTAGTAAGTTATAGTAAATATTTCATTTATTTATTATTGTTGCATTTAGTTACATATAAATGGAAATAAATATAAGTTGAAAAAAAAAGTTTGAAATCAGAGTAATAATTGTTATTACACATTATCAAACAGATAGGAAAATACCTCCTCGTAATGCTAAAACCAAATGTAAAACAGATCCTCCTTGAACTTTGTAATCTTGAGCAGTCTTTTCATCATTCCTAAAAGCAGGCAAAAACATTAGTTACGATAAAAATAGATTATGTGAAAATTGGTCTAACATTTGTTTCCCAGAAAAAATCAATCTCTGTTGCTGAGGTGGGATGCCCTCTTTTTCTTCAACTCTTTCTTTAATTCTTTCCACTCTATCTGTGGGTTCTATATCGATTTCAATCTACAACGACAAATTAAAAACATAACATAACAATTTACAAACAACATTACATTAATGGGTATAAATTAAGTGTACTATACTTGCCTCTTTTCCTGTTAGAGTCTTGACTTTGATCAACATTGTGTAGTTTATGTAAATTTGTGTTTTATTATTAAATTTAAAACGCTTTTTAAGCAAAAATGTGCATACGATTGTTTTAAAACGTCGCTAAGAGAAAGAAGTGAGTACTGAGTACTAAGTAAATGTAATAGAATATAGATAGTACAAAATTATACATTAAATAAAGTGATAAACCGACCACTAAATTATTAACCCACACGTGATAACGGAGTGATACGGTTTCAGAGGATGACAATGAAAATACAATTTTGATAATAAGCAGCTGCTGCAAACCGGTGAAAATTTAAAAATAATAAGTAAGTCATAATTCACTTTTAGATTTAAAACACATAAAACCACAAATCGTTATCTGACTTGTGTTGTACTGAGAAGATTTTACTATTAAAATAGATAATCAATTTGTAAGATGTTTCCTTTGTAGAAAGTACCTATAGTTGGTCATGCCACTGATGTCAGCATTTCCGTCACCACAATATCTTAATTGGCGATTGCGTCTGGTGCGTACAATAGGCCACTCTTCACTTTTTCTTCCTGCTCATATTCGCCATAATTTATATCAACTTTTTTTGTAACGCTGGTTAGGTTAGGTGGTATGGTGTCAACATAACCAAAAAACGGTTCGTAATCGTAATCGTATTCAAGTGCTTATACATTGACACATTGTCGTTCATTATTATAACAATATTCTTCTAATACCTTTTCATTGTATATTATCAATTCACGCCATTACGGCAGAATATAATTGTGTATTATAAATTAACTGTTTTCGCCATTACGGCAAACCTAATTCGGTGATTCATTCATCATCGACGATTGATGGATATTAGGAAAAAAAGTCCCCGGTAAGACAGTTCCAAGGAAAAAAAGTCCCACGGAAAAAGAAGTCTCCAAATTAATATTTTATCGTAGATAAGTATTTATATACATAATTAGGATCATTTTAAATTTATTGAAAATAATATAATAATATAATATCTTAAACATATAATAATATTATTTAAAAAATATAAAAATTTAATTATTCAAATAAATAAAAGATCTGAAAATAATATAATAGGTAGTATAATATCACAAGGCAAGAATGGCATTGGCTGAATTAGGAGAAATTAATCGGAAAAGTTCGATTGAACATGTTATGTCAACGTTTTGATGAAGACAAATCTKCAGATATTCCTAATTTTTTGAAGCAAATAGGTCAAATATAAGAATGAGATCTTTCATATCTGAATAGTTACATTTTTATATTTTTTAAATAATATTATTATATGTTTAAGATATTATATTATTATATAATTTTCAATAAATTTAAAATTTACCTAATTATGTATATATGTAAATATTTATATCTATTACGATAATTTTTAATCCTGGAATTATTTTCAAAAAAATATGTATCATGTATTACCTATGGGCTATGTATATACCTATATATACCTATATGTCCTATATGATAAAAGACTGAATTTAAATAAAATATTAATTTGGAGACTTTTTTTCCGTGGATGTGTTTTCCGTTTACCCGATCGATGTACGCTGCCATTGAGGTACAAATGGTACAATATACACACATATTATTGACATCCATTGCGTTTGTGTTCATTTGTTATACCACTTCGATTGAAACCTTATTGCTATCTACCTCAGCGGACAAGTAAGTAGCGCGTATTGGTTTCAATTTTCACCACTATCACCTTGTTGCAAACGTCGGTTGGCGGTTGTTGACTACCGTGGAATCTAACTATCGCCCGAGATCGGCACTGGTACCAGACAACTCAGCGTAACAAGTCCGCCAGCAACCCAGTGTGTGTTGTGTACTTGTGTCTATGGGTATGTGGCCGCCCAGGTCGTCAATAGTTGCGTTGCTCACTGGATTGGACCGTCACCTACTGTAATTTCAAGTAACTTTAAGTAGGTATTTTGTATATTTTATACGAATGGCCCGATTTCTGTAAGCCTCGACGACCATTGCACCATACCAGACCTTACCTCGAGGACCCCTCCATAAATAACTAGCCTGAATTTCCAATATTCCCTTTGTAAAATCTGTTTCCGTTCCTTTGTGACATATGCGTCTATTTCTGTGTGTCCGACGTCATCGCCGAAGACGTCGATACAGCCAGCGCACACCACAGACTCGTGATCAGACGCGTGGATGTTAAATTGCCTACCCAGTCATTATCAGGGGGCATCAGATCCGACGTATCTTGAATGGCATATTTCTCACAATTTCGGGCGCTACGATCAAAACGGTCACCGTGGGCAGTTTTTCGATCAACAATTATTGTTTACTCTGTGGAGCCCAAATCAAACACTAGTGCTATAACAGGTAACTAGTAGGAGCTGTAGGCTCCAGTAACCACTAAATATCACTTTGCTCGTATAACATATATTTTTAAAATGTTTGAGGGTGGACGAGGTGCAGTGTTAGGAACAGATAACAAAAAAATCATCTGGATAAAGATAAAGATAACAACACTAAATTTTATCTA